CCCCCCGTACCTTAGTATAAGATTACGGTAGGCATATGCTACAATGGCCAAAATCGTGGATTTGTTTGAAAAGCAGTCTGGTGGGGTATTTCATAGGATTACAACATTTCTACCCACGTCGCGTAACAAGCTTTCACAGTAAAAATAGGATAGGTATATGGTGTAAGATCAAAATCATCGAGCCACTAAAAAAGAGAAAATTAGATATTCTAGGCCTACCATGCAAAGCTTTTGTAGGGAATGCATATGGATTTGCAATCTGCATATAAATTTACCTAGTGGACCACCAGATCAGATTACAGTAATATACGATGTGAATGATATCACGTCGTATCTTGCTGTAACCCTAAGTAGGGTCGTACCGCGATAAATGGTTGTGATTTTCAATCGGCATAGTCGTTTCTCCCGCCATTTAGCATTATAGACTCCAATCACACTAGAAAAGTTAAGCTGTTTGCACTTTTACTCTTAGTTTAACATCCAAAACCTTGAACTAGCAAGCATACTATTCTGGAGAGAGATTGCTACTTTTGAATGAACATTTTGGACTAAGAGAAAGGGCCGGACCTATTCGCCAAATCATTATTTTGAAGCTACCTACGATATGCTTGAGAGGAGGAGGCCCTGACGCTGAACCCGAATGCATCAATCTAGGGCGATTGGCAGCCACTACAGCTGCAGGACAGTTTGCAAAGATCTTTGGAGATGCAGACAATCGAAGCTTTAAAGGAGCACAAGGAAGGAGAGTTCTGAAAAGGACCACCGGGCCCTTTTCATTACCGTGTATCGCTCAATATTATTAAACAAACCCGGGCCTTGCACATCTTCCCGATGAAAGATGGAATCATTCGCAAGGAGACTCAACACCAGGCTCTCCTGCTCAAACACCTCTATCAAACTCCGTTATCCTTCTGAAGGAATGCCACTATAGATTCCTGTTGAAGTACGTGCCGCGTTTCAAACCACGAAGGCAGCCACGGCTCCGCACCGGAGCACGTTACGGCCACCTTGCTATGAATTATTTACATTGGATATTTGCGCTCAACCTTCTATTTCAAAAGAAAAATCCCCGCTCCGTGAAGAATCTCCTTAACAATTCTTCCCTATCAGAAAGATAATAAGGGAAATTTTTAGAATTGCCTTTCATATGTCCTAAAACCCCCGTAAGTGAGGATTACCGACTGCTATATGGGCTACACTACGCATGAATATCCCCTTGTCATACCCGATGCGAAGATCTCACAAGGCTAAACCGTGCTGCCAAAGCGTTTACGGCCGTCGTTCAACTTAATTGGAACGAGAGAGGTGTACGGGTTAATAACATTCTTTCCGAATGTTCGTTTCGCGCCATTGTTCTTCTATGAAAAAAATTCCACTAAAGAGAAGAAGAGTTAGAAGAACTAAACAAAGAGGGAAGAAGATAGGATTGCGAATCATCCGAAGGAAGAATTAATGGAATTAAATAAATACCCGATCGCGTAGACATATTTTTACCTATATATCGGATGTTCAATGGAAACGGGGAACGATCTAAAAGAACGATTAGAGAGGAGGAAGGAAGGAGTAACGGTGAACAGCAGCTTAGATCACTTTCGGAATCTTAAGGAAAACTATAGACCAGCAACGCAGAGCTTTGAGCTGACCTGTTCGATCCAACCGTTCTCCCACTGCTCTGTCACGCCGCTGAAATGTACCCTGACACTGTGGCTATTTCGAAAGCTCAATCCATACAGCGCTCGTTGGACCTCGCAGCTCGGATATGAGGCAATCTGGTCTCCGCGATTTAGCGGAATATCTCTCAAAAAATTGCTAGACCTGTCATATAATGAAAAGGGCAGACAACAAATGGACAAGAACTGGAATGGATCCCTCGCGGAGCAAACGTCCTTAAGGGAGATCATGAGCATGGGCTGCGTTGCATGGACGCGTTTGCTGCCCGGATGGGCTGAAATTCAGCTGGTAACGACCAACGGATGTGGATCTTCGAAGTTCAGACAATAACGCAGATGACTAGCTAGCAAGAGACAGAAAGCGAAAAGGGGGTGGAAACAGTTCTGGAGCTTGCACGATGAGTGAATAGAGGCTATTTAAATGTACAAGTAGCTATCTATCTTCCCTAAAGATGTTAAAAACAGATACGAGCTTCATATCTTACTCTAGTCAGTCTGCTGTAAGAAATTCTACTTAAACTGAGACGACTTTAAGGAAAGTCATGGACTTTAGACGCATACTCATCTACAAAGGCATTGCTCCCGCTCCTTTTCAAAATTCCATAAACAAGTGTCGAGTGATAGAGCTGAGGCTGTTCCTACTCCATGCTGCTCTCAAATTGGGTACATCTAAGATTACGTGTCGTTTGCCTAGCTCTTACCTTTTCTCAAGTGCGGAGGGATTCAAAAGCCCTGTAAGCTCTGCATTGGTAAGGGAGCGAGAAAAAGTTAATGTAGAGGTTTTCGGAAAAATAAGGATGATACTGTGGCGCTCAAGCGGTGAAATGCGTTTCTTTCCGAACTTGACCTAACCGTAAAAAATGTTTCAGAGTTTGGAGTTGTACTCATAAAAATCCGTTACGAAGAAGCAATGAAGGTGAGATACAACAA